TGTCTCTCACATGGCCCCAGAATCAAGTAGAAATGGTTTTCCACCATCGACATTTCATTTCTGTCCCCCAGTCTCACCCTGCTCCATGTTATTCCAGGATCCTAAAGCCGTCCCCAAATCTGTACCCTTCCCTTGCTCCAAAGATCCCTGGGCCTAGCCTGTCCTGCAGAAACTCTGGGCTGGGCTTTGGTCCAGAAATCTTCACTGGGACTGGCAGCCGGCAAGGGCAGCCGGGAGGGGCAGGAGGGATGAGCAGCCCCCTCCTCAGGCCTGGTGCCCCACCCACCCAGCCGGCGGCCTGTCTGCCTTCCTGAGCTCATTAACTGCAGGTCACTGTTCAGCAGGAAAGACAAGGCGTGGGTTCTGCGGGCGTTCATTAGCCGTGAGAGGAACAGTGTGTGTGAAATTAGCAGTCACCTGAGGACCTCGATAATTCCATAATTAGGAGGCCTAATGGCTCCAGCTCTGGATGCCAAATGACTTAACCCCTCGCCTGCTGGGCCCCCAACCCCCGGCCCACGGCTGCAAGGGAGGGTCGGCAGTACCCGCTCTGCTCCAGCTCTGCTCTCTGGGGACAATCACATCCATCTTTGCCACCCCAGCATCCAGCAAGGGCTGGTGTGGATGAGGTGCAAAAGTTAAGTTTATGGAGTGAATGAATGAATGCAGGAATGAATGAACAGGTGTCTGAATGGGGAAAGAGCTGCAGCCCCCGATGCAGGTGCTCAGGGGAGGGGCATTCCAGAAAGGGGTGAGGAAGGGTTCTCCATCTGCCTGAGTAGGTGGTGGCTGGGCACATGCCTCTGTGTGTGTGTGTGTGTGTGCGCACGTGCATGTGTGCGCATATGCAGACATGTGAGCATGAGAGCACACACACGTGGATCTGTGATGTCTGCTTCTAAGAACCTGGTGTGTGTCTATGTCCAAACTGCCATCTGTGAGCATTTTCTGCTGCCTCCTGTCTCTGTGACGGAACCCAGGTGCCTCCTTTGATGCCAGCCTCTCTTAGCACCACTTGAATAATGGTGGCTCTAGAATGCCCACTGGGGGAGCTTGGAGGCATTCTTGGCCAGGAACGTGGTCCTAGAGAGCTTGCTTTGAATCTGCTATGCAAGTGTCCTCTTTTTACTTAGATTGAATGTTCATTTGGGATCCTGAAAGACTGAATGAGAAGCTGAAGTCACACCTCTTAGCATAGGGGGAGCTGGTTAGGACAGCCTCCAAGACCATCCTGCCTTCTCGGTCTGTCCTCCCTCCTCCCAGCCTTCCCATGATACTACAGAGAGGAAGGCTGAGGGATGGTGTCCGTGGGGCTCCTGACCTGGTGCAGGCCTTCTTGCAACCAGGGACAATTGGTTCTGAGCCTCCCTAGACCCTGCCTCACTCCCTTGCTTGCCCTGATTGTAGAGGGGATTGGGGAGTAGTTGAGCAGGGAGAGAAGGAAGGAGGATGAAGGGAAAGAAGAGATGTGAAGAGAACAATAAAGAAAGAGAGGGGAAAGGGAGGGGATGGGGAAGAGATGGGAGGAGGAGAAAGGATAGGAAGTCTGAAGGAGGTGAGAGAGGAGGGGAGGGGGAGCAGGGAGGCTGAGAGCATTATCAGCACTTAAAAAGCGAGCAGCTCAGTTCTTCTTTGGCACAAATAATAGCTTTTTATGAATAAATCATGTGTCAGACGCCTCCCAGGGAGTGGGCATAGAGGGGGGCGCGTCTGTTGGGCTCCAAGGCTGGCGGCAAAGGGCCAGTGGCAGACCCCCAGCTGTAGGGGTGTTGCCCCCTTTCTCCCGTTGGGGCCCAGCAGGACAGAAACTGTCTCTGGAATTATCACTGACCTGAGTCAGGCAGAGCTCAGTCATGACTCTGAGGGGGTCTCTTGCTTCCTACACATGAGCTGGACTGGATCCCAGGGCCTGGACAGTCCCTCTGCTTTCCTCCCCTCCCCTCCAACAAACAACATAGAGGACACTCCTAGCAGGAGAACACCAGCTCCTGAGAGAGAGCTGTGTGCCAAGACAGGCAGGCACACCCACAGAGGAAGCCACACGGTACACATGTGGAAATCAGGAGAGCACTAGCACAGGCCTGGCCTGCATAGCCCCAGACACACGTGTGGGCACACTCAGAGATGGACACACCATCATTCTCACACACACACACACACACACACGAGCCCACACAGACAGCTGCATATGGGGCCACACGGACACACACAGACTTGCACACGCACACAGCAGCCCACCCTCCATCAGCCTAGGGCGGGGGCAGCTTTACAGCCCATATGGAGTCCAGACCCAACTGGGCCATCTCAGAGTCTGGTTATGGGGTGGAGCTGGGGCATCTGTCCCAGGCGAGGGCCTGTCGGTCTCTGTGTGCTCCCCACCCTGCAAGGACACCCACATAGCACACCATTGAGGTCTCAGGCCCCAGATCTGATCTTCAACCTGTGCAGGTCTAGCTCCCTGCCTACAGCCACTGCCTGGGGCACAGGCGCCCCAGGAGAACCTGGGCATTGGAGGTATACAGTCAGGGCCAGGGCCCTGGTCTGCCCCTTGCTAGTAGTGTGACCTCAGACAATGATTCCAATTCATTTTTGCTCCTTGAACAAATCTTCAAGACAAGTGCTGCTGCCTCATCTTGCAGACCAAGAAAGTGAGGCTCTTGGAGGCAAAAGTACTGGACACCCTATCTAGGGCCATTTTCTTTTCACAAATTCTAGGACCCACTGTATCCTGTTTTCCTTCTCGTCTCCCCTGGGTCCTCTTTCTCAGCTGATGGGTTCTCCTTCCTGTACCAAGGGGTCCTAAGGCATTCATCAGAGCAGAGCTGGTTCCTTGCTCACCCCACTCTGCGATGCTCCACTCCCACAACAACCTCTATACTCCCGATTCTATGACTTCCCTCTCTAGTCCAGATGCCTTCCTGGGCTCTGTCCCTGCTAACCAGGTGGACATCTCTAGGCCAACATGTTGCCCAATGTCAGATAATTCCATTTGCACAGTAGAAATGTCCCTGAGCCCCCATCCTCCCTCCCAAATCCTGAGGAATCCCATAGCATGTAACTTAAATTGAGGATGTCTGTGGCTGATGAGCAGGCCATATCCCAGGGGGGCTCTCTTCCTTGATGTTCCCCATGTCAGGGAATGGCCTTGTCTGCCCAAGTACTCTACCACCATGGCCTCCTCTCCTTGACCTCCCACGGACCAATCACCACCAATTCCCATGAGTCTACATCCAAAATACATGTGAACTCATCATTTCCCGCCCATCCCCACTTCTCTTGCCCATCTCCTGGTTCGATCCACCATTGGCACCCCTTGCCTCTCTGACTGCTGCCCATTCTAGTCCATTTGCCTCCCTGCACCAGCAATTTTTCCACCTCTGAGCCTTAGCCACGCTCAACTGTTTTTGCCTATGGAAGCCACGTGCTTTCTCCACTCTGGCTTTTCCCCTCTATCTGAATCCCTTCCCTTCCCTAAACCAACTCTTCTTTCAAGGCTCAGCTGAGACAGCTCCTGCTCCAGGGTCAGCTCATCACTGCCCCCTACAGCAGACCCTGCTCTTGCATCCATAGTTGTCTACCTACCCATGTCCTCCACAAGCCTCTAAGTTCCGCAAGGCAGAGCTGTGCCAATGCTGCTGTCTATGGCAGTCCCTATGCCTGAAATAAGAAATGGCACTTAATAGGAGCTCACTAATTATCACTGAAGGAATTTTTGAGTGCAAGACCTGTGCTGAGTACTTTATATACCTTTCTTATTTACTTGAGATGGGGGCTACTATGAATGCTATGATTTAAATGACAAAAACAAGGCTTCAGAGGTTGAAACTGTGCCCAAGGTGTCACAGCTGGTATATCAGAGGACTTCAACAGAAGTCTGCACCTTCAAAGGATTCTCTTCCCACCTCCCCAAGTTATTTGCCCTCTCTGACCTTGTTTTCTCATCTATGAGAACAAAAATTGCACCCAACACAGGGCCTGGCAGAACAGGTTCTCAATAAATACCTGTGACCTCTGTCCCAACCTCAAAGGCTTAATTCAGGGTAATCTCCCCAGGTCTGAAACTTCCCCTACCTGTTCTCAGAAACAGGTGCAGAGCTTCACAAGGCATATCACCGGCATCAGGAACTCAGTAGGCGCTTAATCAACGTGTGCTGAGCAGACCAGCACCTGAGAATGCTGATGTGCACCCAGACCAAAGCCACAGTAGGGGCAGGCACAGGGACCCTCATTGCCCCTCCCCCCACAACCTTTACAATTATCCTTCACCACCGCCGCCCCTTCTGCTAGCCAAGGCGCGGGAAATATTTAAAACAATTTTATTCATGAAAATATGCTGTACAATGCACTCTACACGGCCTGGACACGGCACACACGCACACGCACACGCTGACGGCACGGCCACAGTACACTGCCTACGATACGCGCCGGGGACGCCGCCCCCACCGCCCGCCCCGACGGGACACTTATAAATATGGGAGAGGGGCCAGGACTGGCACGGAAAAAGGGGTGGTAGATGGGGTGGGGTGGTGGATCCAGAGCTGAGGCCTGCTGAAGAGACTGAGACCAGTACTGCGGATGTGGGGGTTGAAGAGAGGGACAGACTGCCATTGGGTTAGGGTGGGAATGGGGGCGGCTAGAATGTGAGGGAGCGGCTGAACCATGGGGATGGGGGTCTACGGAGGGCAACCTCGGACTGCTGGGGTGGGGGCAATAGGTGGGTGTGAGTGAGTTTTCAAGAGAGGGTTGCTGGCTTCCAGTGGTGAGGCTAAGACCAGTAGGGAAAAGTGTCAATTGAGAATCAAACTAGAGTGTGGGGTGGGCTATGCATCACGTCACCTCAAGGGCTCCACAAATGAAACTGAAGATACGGAATCGCTCCCTGCCCCATCTCCTAGTTGGCCTCTCCCGCCAGCATCCAAACCAGGTGGCCCACCATGTTCCTTCCCACTCCCACGTGGCCCAGATTTCAGCCTCCTTTCCCAGGCTTTTTGCCCCGGGAGGAGGGGGAGCGGGTCTCAGGAGGTGGGGCAGGAAAGGTGGGGTGCCCCAGCCCCTCCCTCTCTCTTCTCTCTGTGGTCAGCTTCTGAGGGATGTCTTAGCAGGGCTGGGGCTGCCTCCTGGATCCTCCCCGTGGAGCTGGATTGGGGCTGGGGACCCGGGGATCAGGATGGGAAGACAGAGGCCCCCTGGGGAAGGGACCCGGGCACCCAGGACGCAGGAGGCGGTCCTCAGCCCGGAACCCAGCTCTGGTTAGGAGGCGGGGCCCCGGCCAGGCCGGGCGGCGGTGGAGGCAGGGCTGAATCAAAATTGAAGTCCATTTCGTCGCTGTCCATGAAGTCGTTGAGGATGATGGACTCGACGTCACACTCAAGACTCCCGCTGAACATGTCGAGGTCCAGGTCCGCCGGGAATCGGTCCGGCGCAGCACCCAACGGCCCGGCGGCTGCGGCCGCATATGGCCCGGGCAGCGCGTCCAGTAGGAGGCCACCGGGCGGGCCCCCAAAGGCGGCGGCATGGCCAGGTGGTGCCAGGCCTGTGGCGCCCGCGTCTCCGGGCAGCGTCATAAGGCTGATGGGGTGGGCTAAGGCACTGCGCGAGGGCGCCGGCGGCGCGTACGGGGCCGTCCCCTTGCCGGGGTAGGCGGCTGCCGCACCTGTCAGCGCCATCTCCCCGGGCGCGCCCAGCACCGGGCTGGGCCTCGGCGCGGGCGGCGGCGGCGGCAGCAGGGTGGGCAGCGCTCCGGGACGGAAGGGCGCGGCGGCCGGCGCGAAGCTGGCCTGCTTGTTCTCCTGGATGGTCTGCATAGGCAGGCGCCGCAGCGCGCCCAGCGCTGGCGGCCCGTAGCCCCCTCCCCCGCCATAGGCACCGCCTTTGCAGCCGCCGAAGTAGGCAGGCGTCCCGGCGCGGGCTCGCTGCCCGAACGCGTCCTGCGCGCCGTCCAGCAGGGCCTCCGGCAGCCCCGCGCCGCCGCCGCCGTGCAGGCCTAACGGGCCTCCCAGCTCTGCCAGGCGTGGCAGCTCCCCCGGGCAGCGCGCACCCAAAGCCGGCGAGAGCGCGCTCGCTGGGCTCGGGTACATGAGCGGCGATGACGGCGCCAGGGCCTCCAGGGCCTCGTCGTCCTCCAGCTCGGCAGCCTCCCCAAGCAGGGGTCTCCCGCTGCCGCGGAAGTCGGCCCACGCCTCGTAGTCGTCGCTGGTGTGCGAGGCCGGGCTGGCGGCCCACTTGGCCGCGACAGGCACAGGCCCAGGGACAGGCGCGCCCGGAGGGCTGTCGTCGGGGCTTCGCTCGGGCGCCTGCAGCTGCTTCTTCTTGCTTGCCTTGCCCTTGATGCGAAGGAACTTGGCCCCGTTGTCCATGGACACAGCCCTGCGCCGCGGGGTCTTTCCCGTCTTTCCACCCTCAGGATTCAGCATCCACCAGGAACTTTTGCCAGTGCCCTCGTTCTGCACGCGGATGAAACGGGTGTGCAGCGACAGGTTGTGCCGGATGGAGTTCTGTGGCCAGAGACAAGGGCATGGGTAGGGGAATGGGAAGCGAGGAGGCCGTGGGAAAAGGAGGGAATGATGGAATGGAGCGTCGAGAAAAGTGAGAGAATGGAGAAGTAGGGAGAGGAGGGGAAATAATGGGGTGCAGGGTTTGGGAGAAGAAGGGGGGCAGGTGTAAGTACCAGGTCGGACAAACCCAGAATACCCAGCCTCTACCCTTAATTGCACCTGCACCCCCAGACACTGCCCAGAGGGTGGGGCTGGAGCTCTGGGCCTAGCCTTTTCCCAGGAGCTGAGGGTTACTGGGTGCTTGCGGAATCCTCCTCTTCCCCAACACAGCCAAGCCCCTCGCGGGGCTAGTCAAGCTGTCAGTCCCCCTACCCCAACCTCCAGCAGATTATGTAAGGGCTCATGCCGCCGCGGCTCATTTGTCCGCCCCCCTCCCTCCAAGTCTGGCATGGTGCCAGGAGCCCGAAAACCCAGGGCTCCAGAAATCAATCTCGCGGTGACTGATTAAGCCCTGTTTAGAACTAATTGCTCTTTCGTGTGTGGGGAGAATAAATTACCTGCTTTAATTTCGTGTCTTTAAAATGCAACTGCAGGTAGAGAAGACTGTTAACCCTTTGCTGGGACTGCTGGGACGGCCTGGCCAGCCAAAGCAGAATAGCTGGGGGTCCCCAACCAGGATGTAGGCCTAAGACTTTTCAGAGATTTCCCCCAGCTCCTCTGAACTCCGAAGAGACTGGGTTCTACAAAGGACAACGTTTGGCCATGGAAGCCTCAGGCCCTACTCCTGCTCAGTGCCTTTCTTCAGGTCACCCCAGTTCACTTGCCTGCCCACCCCTCTTGATCCACCTGCCTCAGCTCTGCCCTCAGAGCCGCTTTCTAGTGGGGCCTGTGCACGATGCCTACATACTCCCCATTTATAGTCAAGAAGACCTGGGCTCAGAGAAGTGAAGTGACTTAAAGGCTTCAAAGCCCTTTCTGCCATCCCTGGGTACCTCTGTGGCTTCACCTTTGTTGCCCTTGCCCTTATCCTCTTCTTAATTTCTGCTGTGCCAGTCTACAGTGCTCCCCAGGTGTCTGCCTGCTTTGGCCAGACCTGTCCTGGGATGGTGGAGTCCAGAGCTCCACTGGCCTGGCTCCCACAGGAATCTGGAGTAGCATGGGCCTCCCACCTGGGTTTGGCCACTGCTTTGGAAACAGCATGACCTTGGCTACCAGAGGGCAGGGTGGGAAGCCAGGTTTTTGACCACCTAGCTGTGTGACCATAGCTATGTATCAATCTCTGAGCCACTCTAAAAAAAAAAAAAAATGGGCCACCGTCATAACAACCTCATAAGGCTGTTAGATCATTACATGAACTAATCTGGGGTTCAGTGTCGGGTGAACACTCCAGGTACTCATAGATGTTGATTAAATCTTTCACTCTGGCCAGAAGATCTGACCTCTTAGACCACTCAACAGACCTGCTCTGTTTCCATCTCCTTCACATCCTGTCCTGAGCGAAGCTGTTCTAGGCACCAACCACTCTTAGAAAGCTGACGTTCCCCCATTTCATCTGTCAGGCAACAGAGGCCCAGAGGCACGATTAACTTGCCCATAATACCACTCACAGCTCGGCAGTGATGCTGAGTACCCCGACTCTGCCCAGGTCGCAGACTTGCTTGTAATCCTTTAATCTGCCCAGTTACACTCACAGCCACTGCTCTGTGAGGGTACTCCCTCCTGCCTCCTCTCCAGGGGTCTCCAGGAGGTCCTTCCTGCTGCCAGGGCACCTTCCACCCACTGCTCCCCCAGCTCCAGGTCCTGACTGACTCTTCAGGGCCCCAGGCTCCCTGTCTCTAGCACTTTTGGGTTGGGAGACAACAGCTGGGGCTTGCCAGGCTTGCCCTGCTTGGCTTCTCCTGGGGCTTGGAGAGGAGGGGAACTGGACCCCAGGGATCCCTGTTCCCTCAAGTAGATACCCCCTTCCCGTCCCGCCCCCACACCTGGCTCCCAGGCCCCTCCCCCACACCTGTGTTCAGGGTCCTCAGGAGGCCTCAGTTCTTTTCCCCAAAGAACTGTCGGCTTGCTGGAGGCTCCACCTCCCACCTCTCCACTTCTCCAGCTGGAGGTCCATCAGGTAACACCTCTTTATCAATGTCATTATTTGCCAGCCCAGCTCAGAACACTGGGGGGTGGGGAGAGGAAGGACACCATCAGGTACCAGCACATGGGCAGCACCAGCCTGTTCAGCCCAGGCACTCTGAGTACTTATCTCACTTTATTACGTAAGACTCCAGAATCATGGATTGGGATCCCTAGCCCAACATGAGAAGAGTAGGCTCAGAGACTCTGAGTGACCGCCAAAGTTACACAGCTTGGTAAGCACAGGCCAGATTTTGATTTCATGTTGGTATTACTGAGTCTAAAGGATATAACTTTGTGCACGGGACAGGGAAGTGGTGTCAGGGAATTCCTAAAGAATCTTAGGAAGCTAGTATCCCAGTGCTCCTCAAACTTTCCATGTAAACTATCCCTACATGTCTGTGGGCCTAACAGTGCAGGGGGTATGGGACAGTAGATCTACATGTTATTGTTCCTCTGTCTCTCTCAGTGCTGGGGTTCAAACCTAGAGTCTCACAAATGCTAGACAAGCGCTCTACCCCTGAGCTATTTCCCAGACCTCCATTTTCTGTAGAATCAAAATATTTCAGATTATTCAAAATATGCTCCAAGCCTACAAAGATTTGCATCCTTCTCCCCTTGGTCCCCTACCCAGCCAAGTACCTGATAGGGGCCTGACACCATGGCTGGTCCAACCCAGGGAAAAGAAAGGACTTGCCCAAAGTGGCCCAGGACCTGTTGTCAGAATACGGACGTGAGCCTGACCCCCACCTCGGTGCTCCTCCCCCTCCTTCAAGCTTGACTTAGGGCAAATTTCTCCTCCCATCCAGGGTTCAGTTTTCCTACCTACACAATGATGACACAGGCCAGTGGTACTCTGGGGGCCTTTCTGGGGATTTCAGTTTGACACCAAAAATCCTTGGTATCATCCAGTCCAGAGGTTTTCAAACATTTTTCTTAAAGCAATGGAATTCTTTCGTAAGTGAAATTTAATGCAAAACTTAAGTGTCACATACTCAAGCCAATGCGGGTGGGAGGGTTAGCCTGGAGCCTTGCCCACTCAGCACCCTCTCTCTCAGAAAATGAGGCCCTTGGGGAGGGATCCTGCAGCCCAGATGGATGGAGCAGCTGAAGCCTAGAGGGGTGCCTTGTACTGACTGGGGTCATGCAGGGAGGTGCTTCAGAGGTGAGTCAAGGATCTAGACCTCTGACTGCTGAGCTGGGCTTTGTCCTAGGGTTGTGCCCCACGAGAGAAGCCAGGGCCCTGCATCCCAGTGTGGCTCCTCAGGGCCCAGCTACCTGGTACCAATCAGAGCTCCCAGCCAAGATCCAGTGGCAAGCACTGATCACAACTCTGGCTCTCACACAAGGCCTCCTGGGAGGCCAGAGGCCATGGAGGAGGTGAGGGAGGTAGAGGAGGAAGATGCCTCTGCCAGGCAGCAGTAACCAGGGCTCCCTCTTGGAGTTGCCTAGCAACCTACCACCACAGCCACAGCCCTGGCATGCCCGGGCTCCCCTGGTGCCCAGAGCTGGGCCCAGCTTCTGGGGCCTCATATCTCCCACACCTACGTCCAGATCTGGTCCATGCTCTGATGGGAGATAGGACCTCCCTCACTCAAGGACCCAGGGAGGCCAGCTGGGGGCAGAGGGAAAGGGACAGAGGATGATATCCCATGCACACCCCATTCTCCTTCAGAACCTGGGCCAGGAAGAACAGCCCCCAGGAGCCTCACCCACCAGTGGTGGCTGGTAAAGCCAGTACAGGGCAAAGTGCATGAGATCTGGTGTCAGATCTGGATGCCAGTTTCAGCTCCATCACCCATGAACAGTGCAACCCAGGGGCAAGATGCTCTGAAGCTCTAATCTCTCCAGCAGCCACCTGCTTCTGCATTCACTGCCCTGCAGCAGCTGGAATGGTCCTTTCCATAACTGAGATCATGTCCAGTCCTCCCCAGATCCCCCCCACTGTCTCCATCTTATTCAGACCCACAGATCCTCCATGACCTCTCAAGTGTCTTGCTCCATCACTCCTCCTGTCCCTTGAGCTGGCCAGACAGGATCCCACCTTTCCACAGATGTCTGCAGAGATCTCTCATTTCCTTCAAGTTCAGATGGCCCTTCCGAAATGAGGTCTCTCTTGACCACTCAAATACTGCTCCTCTCCCCTGCCATTTCTTGGCGTCCTTACCCTACTCTAAATTTTTCTAAAGTAATTATCACTATCTAAATATTTGGTTGAACATTCCTAATCCAAACATCCTAAATCTGAAGTGCTCCAAATTCTGAAACTTTTCAAGTGTCATGGTACTCAAAAAGTTTCAGATTTCGGAGCCTTTTGGCTTTCAGATTTTTGGATTAAGGATACTCAAACTGGTAAAGTCTATGTAAATATTCCCAAAGCTGAAAAACTCTGAAGTCTGAAACACTTTTGGTCCCAAGCATTTCAGATAAGGGATACTCAACCTATACATAATTTATTTATCTTCTTTCAGTCAAGGACAGCTGTCTGGTTGTCCTTATATTGGAATATAACTTTCATGAGGGTACTGTTTTTGTCCTTTTTTTTAAAAAAAAAAACTGTACCCCATATGTTTGGCACATACTTTAAGCACTTAAATGTTTGTGGAATGAATGCATGCATGGATGAGAGAGAGAGAGAGAGAGAGAGAGAGAGAGAGAGAGAGAGAGAGAGAGAATACTGTGTTGTAAGGGGAATTAAATGAGACTGCCTTGGCAGGCGCATAGTAGGGCTTTTTCAAACTGGGCTGAGAAGAGAATATAGGACAAAATGAGGAACAAGCAGGGAGGTGGAGCAGGTCATGAACTATAGTACTGAAGGAGCCTCGGGCAGAAGAGCTCCAGAGGGGCTAGCAGGTGCGCAGGCAGCTGCCCTCCCCAGC